AGGACCTAGGCGTCAATTGAGGTTTTTGTTCATTTGTTTGTATTGTTTTTATTGACCTTGAACCTTAGTCAAGAAAATACTAAAAGGTATCACGGAAAATATTCTGGGTTTAAAACATAGTCCTTGTTGTCTGCATTTATAGCACAACTCTCGTTCCTTTAGGTAACTAAAATTAACAATTACAGCCAATAGGTAACCCTTTTCTGCCTTGGTGCAACAGTGCAAAGCCCCCAAAATGACTAAGTAGAAGCCTCAACTTCCTGTTTAATTGAACCATTGTTTTCTCCCTGTGTAGGAAAGATTTCCTCTTTGGGACTAAGACTCTCAGATCAGCAGGGTAAGAGTGAAAATGTGCTGTAAGTGGGTTACTGGCAACAGTAGTGAGAAGAGCTGCTCCCATGTCTGCCCCTGAATGCTGAACTCAGGTCTCGTCATATGCACAATGACGTGGTTCCTCCTCCTCGAAGGGCACCAGACTCCTGTAATCAGGAAGCTTGAAGGTCTGGAAACTGCTTAGACCTTGACAATCCACTGTACTGACTCAGAACAAGTTTTTGGCTGCCTAAAAATCCCAAAATACTTTTTTCTCATATACAGATCAAGCAACACTCTAGCATCCTCCTCTAGGAAGGAGAAGATCACGGCTAGGAACAGCACGATAACCTCACCACCATCGAAGGTCTCTGCAGGCCAAGGCATCCTTGATAGTGGATGACTCACCTCGTCTTTGACGATTTCCGGCTGCTACCACTTCTGCCACCCCAAGAGCCCACAACCTGTACAACAAGGAGAGCATGCCAACAGCAGCATCTTCCACGTGGCTGGCATGGAGCAGACGCCAGAGCTCTCCATCCCGCTGCTCATGGTGCAGAGCAGGAGAAGCTTTCACGTCTGCTTGCGAGACAAGGAAGGGGCTGGACTAAAAACTGGCATAATGACAATGCGTTCGCTTTGTGATTGGGTAGCTTTTACTAATAGCAGGGCCTATTTAGATATTGTAGACATTTAGAAGCATGACAGAATGGTATTACTGGATTGAAGCCTCAAAAGGGTTGGAGTAGGGAAGTCTGGATTCCTCAGCTGTACTTACTTGTATATGATCTTTTTATGATATGTTATTAGTATGACAAATTTCTCATTTTTAGTCTTGGATCTTTCCATTCAAATTCTTTTGTAAAAAGGCCTGATTTGTTTTTTCTCCTGTTTTATCAATATTCTTGGATCTTGTACTGATTAAAATCAAACTCAGTAAAAACAAAAACAAACAAAGACAAACCCCACACTGTTAGCTGCCCTGTTTGGCAAGTGTTTTCAAGAGCAAAACCCATCTGGGCATGGTGGCACATTCCTGTAATCCTAGCACAGGAGAGGTTGAGACAGGAGGACTGTAAGTTCCAGCCCAGCCTGGGCAACTTAATGACTTAGCAAGACCCTGTCTCAAAATGAAAATATTAATAATTATAGTAAAAGGATCAGGAACATAGTAAATGCTCTGGGTTCGATTCCAACACCTAGGGAACAACAAAATTTTCATATCCACTTGCACAAAAGTACATCTAGCATGCTTTCAAACTGGAAAATGTTCTCCAGAAATTACACAATGGTATGTATAAACCTGAACAGGTTGTACTCATGAGGAAAGATATATAATTTACCTAAGTACAATAAATACTTCAGAGTTTAATTATCAGGGTAGCAATGTCTATTGCAAACAGTGACCATGGCTATCCTTATAGCAAAATTTCTAAGCATGACAAGAAATCAAATTTTTCTTAAGATCATTTGCTCAGTAATATCTTTGTCCTTTTAGTCACAGGGTAAAAGAGGAAAGAAATATGTGAAACCTACCTATAATACCTTATCTTTTCTCATAAATTTCCCTTATCATAAAAAATAAAATCCTCGCGCACTGGAATCTAAGACCAAGGTGTCACCAGAGCTTGAAAGTCCAGCACACGCACGTCCTGGCGACCCAGTGTCCTCAGACTGGCCACCCTCCTCTCTCTGACATGCACATCCTTCTGGCATGCTTGGCCCTGTGTCAGTGCCACTTCTCAACAACACCCTAGAAAGCCTTGAAAGAAGAATTTAAACCTCTTAAACCCAGTCAAGTGAAATAGATTTGTGTTCGGTCACTTCTGTCTCGATTTTAGCCAGTGGAATGTGAGGTACTTGAGATGCCTGAAATATATTGTTTTTAAAACTGAAAAGCAACCTTCCATTTCAAAAGGAGATTGTAGAAATGTTGACCAAAAAAAAAAAATTATTACATTCTGACCACGGGCAATGAAAATCAGATTTGTTTATTCTCTATTATGTTGCTGTCATGTTTTTGTTTGTTTGGTTTTTATTTATTTTTGCCATTGCTGCTGTTTTTGAGGCAGGGTCTTACCCGGTAGTACAGGCTGGCTTTGAACTCACAGTTATCCTCCTGCCTCGGCTTTCTGAATGCTGTGATTACTGTTTGCTGTTTTAAATTCCCACTGTAATCCCTGATTAACACTTATTTTCTCTGTGTTGGTATTGTGGGTCATATTTTTGGCTAGCATTTCCTGCCAATGCTGTTTGCTATCTGCACATCTCTGGGGGGTTCCCAGCAGCATAAACTCTCATTTTCAGTGGGATCTGGCTTTGGCTTTTTGTTTCTTTTTCCTGCCCACAGAGATGATTTCATTTGAACTCAGTGAGTTTTTTGTCCTGTATTTCTCTGTTTTCATCAATTGAGCACAAGTAAATTGGCACATGAAATCTACAGCGCACAATTTTGCTGCTTGGTCTAGATCTCTGAGCCACACTGTTAGCCACAGAATTTGTTTTAGAAAAAAGTGGTTCCAATTTCTAGCCCCCTGTGAAAACCAAAGTGAGCTAGAAATACCAGTTTCTGGAATCATGAACAAATCCAAACAGTCCCACCTACTGGAGCGTAGGGAGCCTCAGGTGCATGGGATTAGAGGAGGATTAGTCCTGGTTCTACTTACAGTGTGCTTTCTCAGTGGTCCATGAGTGGCCTCTTCCATTAAATATAACTATGCTGATATAGGAGTAAGGATACAGTGCAGATACGCACTCATGAACCCACCACCTAACGCAAAAACTGACCTCTTGGCAATACCCTCCCCCTGTGTTGGCCTCCATTCCACCTTTGCATTTCCCCACTCAAGATAACCGTCATGTTGAATTAACTCCTTTTGGTTGTTGGTTTGCGATAGGGTCTTATTGTGTAGTTCAAACTGCTCTTGAACTTACAGTGATCCTTCTGCCTCGGCTTCCCAACTGCTGGAATTACAGGTATGTACCGCAAAATCAGATTTTTTTTGTTTTGTTTTTTGTTCCAAGCTTTTTTCCTAGTTCTTACGGTTGCTGACAATCATCGCCACCCTTGGCTTGCAGGTGAGGACTCAAATGTCTGTCTCTGTTTTCACATAACCTCATCATCACATTTGTTTTTTTCTTTAATCTTAGCTATCATTCTAGTCAAACAAATTTTATCAATATACTTGGTAATCTTCACGTATTTCCCATAGTAAGTACTAGGTTTAGTCTCCCTCTTTGGTAACATTCTCCTTTTGTGGGTACCAGGAAATTCCCTTGACATCTCTTTTTGAAGGATTCTTCTATTCTAAATTCAAACCCTTTGCACGTCTCTTCCTCCATTTATTCAGGCCTGGTGTATGTCAGGCACCGTGCTAGGTCTTGATTGGAACAAGTGCACAGGAAGCATGTGTGCTTAAGTAAAAACCTGATGGTACATGCCTACAATTCCAGCTGAGGAAGGAGGGTCACAAATTTGAGGCAGCTTGAATAATTTAGGAAGCCCCCTCACAAAATAAAAAATAAAAAGGGCTAGGGACGTAACTCAGAGGTAGAGTGTTTGCCTAGCACTGGACTAGGTCTCCAACACAGCAAAAAAGACGAGAAAAGGGGACACAGATGGAGCCAAGGCTGAGGCACCAAAGACAAATGGTTCTCTTTTCTCTTGCTTAGAAAAGCAAAAAGAGCACGGCCAGCCTTCCGCGATGGAGCACACAAGACAGTAACGGAAACTGTTCTAACCTTGACTTGTTAGAATCACCTAAGGAGCCTTTTAAAATGCCCACAATGCCCAGACACACCCTCCGCTAGCTAAAGTATAATCTCTGGAGCTAGAACCCAACTGTACATATACAAAATTTGGAACTGCAAGGGTCACAATCAGGGTTCCGGGTTAAGTCCTACTAAGGGTTGAGCCGGGAAGCCCCCATTCATATATTGAAAGTCCAGCGCCCCACCCCCGCCTCAGTGTGATCTTGGTTGATGTGAGAGCTTTTACAGAGTAAATTAAACTGAAAAGTCACTTCTGTCCTAGGAAACTTGCAGTCATTCCTGTGCCTGGGGAGAATACCCCAAGAGCCCAAGCAGCCACCAGCAAGCCAGACAGAGGCCCAGACTACCTGGACCTCACAGCTCTTAAACGGAACCAACGCAGCACCCTCCAGAACTGGAGACGTTCGCTAAGACCATCCTCGATGCATCCTCCGCTAAGACCAATCTTTCTGGCTTGTGTAAATAACTTCCTGACGGTACTTCAAAGAGCTTATCTGACAAAACAAGGTAGGAACTCTCCTTCCTGGTTTCCAAGAAGTTTAAGCGTGGAAGTGTAAGCGCAGGAACTGGCTGGCCACAGGCCCTTGGGCCATGCTAAGTGCTTGGCAGATGATACTAAACTAAACAAGCAAGTAACTTTTCAGCTAAGCCAAAGGTGTTCACCTCCAACAGCCTGCGAATGCTGCTAATAACACAGGTCCTGCTGTAAAGCGCCAGAAAAATAAGTAAACCCGCGGCCTGCTCTGGGTAACCCCTCTTTCCAGGCCATGCTCTGGCCTGGGTCGCCCCCAAACTTCCTGTTTTGTGCTGGAAGCAATCTTGTTCCCGAACTCTGCCACTAGGGGGCGCGCAGACTCCGGAGCCTGCAGCCGGACTCGGCCTCGCGGGCACCAGGAAGCCCGAGGTGCGGCCTCCAGCCTCCTGCAGTCTCCACTTTCCTGCCTCCCTCGCTGGGCAAGGCTCAGGGTCCAAGCTGATGGCCTCCCGATGCCCAGCGTGCCGCTACTTACTTTTGACAGTCCCGCTCCTCGCCCAGAAGAGTGAACTGAGGCTCAGAGAGGGTAAGTCACTGCTCCAGGGTCACACAGTGTAGGCTTTTGAGTCAGATTTGCCTGCTTCCTAACTTTGCAAACACCTTTGTGGCTGAAGGGGACCCCAAGTGTTCAGCCCCTCAGAGGGGCCAGATGACTGACTTAGTTATCAGGAAAAGACCCCAGCGCAGGGAGAGCTAGACAGCTTTTTACATTTTCTTTTCTCTCCCCCATACCCTTCCGGAGGCCACCGCAGGCCTGCGCAACTCCACCACTGTTTGCATTTGGCGCTGGTGATTAATGCTTTGCTGCCCTCTTATTGAGGAAATGAAAGGGATAAGGATTAATTCCTGTTCAGCCTCTCCCCCTCTCCTCCCTTTAGTGCCCTATGATTTTCACAGCCACCCCAAAGGGATGCTCAGGCGGGCTCGGGGTGGGCGTCCTAAGTGTTTATTGCCTGTCTACTGAAGGAGTCAGGACACAAAAACAACCGTGTTCGAAACAGCTACACGAAAGGGATAAAAACAAAAAACACCTTTTTTTTCTTTACTGGAGATTGAACTCAGAGCCTTAGACATGCTAGACAAGTGCTCTACCACTGGATTACTGGATTAGACTCCCAGACCTAAAAAATAGAATTTGGGATGTTCTCAACATAAATCAATGACAAGGTTTGAGATGATGTGTGCACTAATTGGGGTGAAGAATATGCTAATTGCCCTGATCTGATCACCACGCATTGAATAATGTATCAAAACACCACAATGAATTCCATAAAATGGACAATTATTATATTGTATATAAAATACAAAAATTAAAACAACAGTGGTAACTACACATCACTGATACCCACACTGCTAGAAGACAGCCTTTTGTGCTGGAAAAACTGCCCAATGGTAATTTGGTGTTCTGTGTCTCTGGGTTTGTATTTGCAGGCTGTCTGGGTGACATTCCCCAACCTCATCCTGCCCAGCACTTCCAGGACCCCTAGGAAGCTCTGTGCTGTGGCTCTGGGAAGGCAGACCTGACTCCAGCCGTCCACAGGACATGTGCACCCCCGCAGGGTGTCTCTCACAGGACAACTGGTACCAGACACATACTCAGAAATCACCCCTTAATTAAGACCATGCTCAATAGGAAGGGAATCAGAAGACAGGGAGGGGAGAAGAAGAGGGATGAAAAGCAATTAAGACGTGCTGTGCACATGTACCAACTCTCTGCAAGGATTGTGATCTTTACGCACCACACACCTGTACTGATACAAAACAATAATTGGGAGGAAAAAAAGCCTGAGCTCTTGGGGAAGATGCCCATGCTCTCTGGAGTTTTCAATGTCAGGTTTTAGGTCTTTCTTTCTTTCTTTTGTTTGACTTTTTTTTTTTTTGAGATAAGGTCGAGCTGTGCAGTTCAAGCTGGCCTTGAGCTCACTTTATAGTTCAGGCTGGTCTCAAACTTGCCATGAACCTCTTGCCTCAGCCTTCTGAGTGCTGAGATCCATTCTTATAAAAGGATTAAGGGGCTGGGGATTTAGCTCAGTGGCATAAGCATCTGCCTTGCAAGCAGACGGTCATGAGTTCGATCCCCGGTACCGATAAAAATGAAAAAGACAAAAAAAAAAAAATAGATTAGAACGATTCAGGGAACACACTCAGAGGTGGGAAGTCTGGTTCTCTTTGCTGCAGAAACCAAACCAAGCCAATGAACACAGCCCCTGGCTTCTGTGTTGTAGACTAAGAAACACAAGCTCCTTTCTGGCTCTGTTGGCCTCTTGTGTCATTGATTACTATAGCCTTGAAACTCTAATAGCCACACGTGCACACACACACTGTAGCACTCAGGCATAACACTGTACATTCGCACAACGGCAGCACTGCAGGCCCAGGACCACCCCAGGACCACCCCAGGACCACCCCAGGACCACCCTAGGTCCACCCCAGGCCCACCCCAGGACCACCCCAGGACCACCCCAGGTCAACCCTAGGACCACCCCAGGACCACCCCAGGACCACCCCAGGACCACCCCAGGACCACCCCAGGACCACCCTAGGACCACCCCAGGCCCACCCCAGGACCACCCCAGGCCCACCCTAGGACCACCCTAGGCCTACCCTAGAACCACCCCAGGACCACCCCAGGCCCACCCCAGGACCACCCCAGGCCCACCCCAGGACCACTCAGCCTCCCCTGGCTTCCCACCATACATTTACTGTGAGGTTAGGGCTCAGATTCTTCCTGCACAGGGCCCTCCCCGAGCCCTTTCCTTTTCTGATGTCTTTGTCGGAAGATTGCACCAGCAATGTCTTGGTAAATATTATACTACGGAAGGCTGAGACATTGGAAATGTGTTGGGAATAAAGTCATACCAGAAGTTCAGCTGAACAATGTCTTTGCCTTGATAGAGCCAGAAGAAGCCAATTCTCAGGCTCAGATTTTAGTAGCTTTTTCTTGTCTCCATCCTAGTTGAGATCTCTTTTGCACGCAGTGCCTGGAATCCTGACCTTACCCACCCACAGCTCCTGCAGCAGCAGAGGCCAGAGCCTCAGACACAGACAGAACAAGCATCAGCGGCTGGCTCTGCCTCTCAGGAGCCCTGTGAATGTGGATGAATCCCTGACCCCAGCATTCTCTGCAAAATGGAGGTAGGACTATTTATTAGGATTTCTTCATGATGCACAAAAGACGCAAAATTAAACACTGGAATGTTGCATATGGTAAATAAATGGTAAGATTTTGTGTGAAGAGCGTTACCTACAAGGCCTGGAGATACGGCTCAGTGGTACAGCACTTGCTTAACACGCTCAAGTCCTGGGTTCAATTCCTCCAGCACTATCAAAACAAAAAGTAAAGATTATCTTTCAAGGGATACTTGCTGGGTTTTGTTGTTGCTGTTTTCTAGGGCAGGACTGGGCATCAAACTCAGGTGTTTGCATTTTTATATGCACAAGGTCCAGTTAAAGAAGGAGCTCATGCAGGGAGTTGCAAGTCATAACCAGGAAGGGGACTTTGTTTGGAGGGCTTTTCTACCACCATCGTATCATGACAAATGGGCAGTTACCAAAATAAAAAGCAGTTTTGATACTAAAATATTAGAATAACTGATAGAATGTTTAGACTACTGCCTTTTATTGATTTATCAATGCATTTTGATTTGGCTGGCTGATTTGACATTAAGAATGGTCTCTTTAGGCAGTTAAAATAGATATCATGATCCCCATGCCAGAGATGTGATAGAAAGAAAGGAAACAAGCTTACGGAGGTGAAACGACTTGCAAGATAATGATTTAACCCAAATTTGAATCCTCTGGAATCTAATTTCCATGATTTTTCTACCACATGTCCAACTACAAACGTGAAATACCAACATGCTAAAAAGACTGTTGAGAGCCATTGATGGTCAAGGGATACAACTTGGCCTGACATCAGCCACCTTGAGCCATAACTGTCATGATTATCCCTGAGTAACCCTGGCCACCACCCCCAATTGTTTTCAAACAAGCTATAAATAGACAAAACCATTAGAGTGGTATGTGGAGCTTTACCATCCAGACCATTATCAGCATCAAGAATGTGCCTGCCATCTTTGATGTTAGCTTGAGATAAACCAGATGCATTCGGGCTTGGAAGTCATTTTTGTCCTGACCTTGTGATAAACTCCTTCCTTCTAATCCAGATCACAGAGATCCACTGGCTTTGCTACCACTCAGAATCACGCCTGTCAGAGTCTCAAAAAACTGTGCTCTGCGCTATCCTGGATCTGGCTGCCTCTTTCTTTGGTCTGATGGCAGCACGGGTCCAGCTCTTACACTGTATGTCAGGCTGCTCAGGAGCCGTTTGTCTCACTGTAGCCAATGCAGCTGTCCTGCAGGGGCACATCTTGGATTTCAAGCTAGGAACTATGGCAGAGTGTAGTTCTCACCCACAACTTTACTTTCCAGCTGCCTTCTCTGGGACATCTCTGCTCTGTGCCGCGGACAGACTGAACCTTTGACCTTGCCCTGCAGCACGGCTCCTCCTCCAGATTTTCCCCACCCACTGCTGTGCCCATCCCACAGACAGGGTACACCTGTCTGTCCATTCCTACCTCCAGAAACCTGGCTCCTCCTACCCTCCACTTCCACTCCCACTCCCAAACTCATCCTGCCCCCGCCCAGATGAGCTCCACCCGTGACCACTACATTTTGTCTGGCTTTGGCTGGCATCTGAATCACATCAGCTCTCTCCACTGGTGGGAAAAGCTTTTTAAATCTCAGATTGCTGGGCTTCACCTCAGAGGTTCCGATTCGGTAGATCTGAGTGTCGCCTGAGAATGCACATTTCTGACAAGTTCTCAGCCACACTGTCACTGCTGGTCTCGGGTCCACACGTCAGTGGTCCCTGAGCTAAACATCTGTAATAGTCTCCTAGTCCAGAAGACCTTTTCAGACTTCACTTGGGCCGTGTAATTCCCTGCAGTTAGATGTCTAAAAGTTTTCTTGGCTCTTCACTGCACTAGGAGAAAGGCTGTCTCCATCCGCAGTACCTGTGGATGCTGCACAAAGCTCTTTCTCCTTCTCTTCTTGTTCTTCTTTTTCCTCTCTTCCTTCTCCTCCTCCTTCTTAATCTCCTCCTTCTCCTGCTTCTTTTTCTTCCTTTTCTTAGACAGGGTCTCACTATATAGTTTAGGTTCTATTCATTATACAAGTCAGGCTGGCCTCCAACTCATGGAAATCCTCCTGCCTCAGTCTCCTGACTGCTGGGATTATAGGATGCACCACCACATCCAGGTACAAAGCTCCTTTGGAATTCATGCCAGCAGACTAAAACTCTACCACACCTCCTGGCTGATGTCATCTGCCCGCGCTCTGGTCACTTCTGTTTCTTAAGTACTTGAGTATCTTGCTTCTCATTTTCACTAAATGATTATTTAATTATTTGGGCAGTGATGGGTTTAATACTTGTGCGTCTGCTTCCTTGACCTTCCCTCACATAGTCTTTAGTCCTCTACTCTGCATGACTTGATCATGTCATCACCTCTGTTGAGGTTTAAGTATGAAACGTCCCCCAAAGACTCAGTAATGAGCAATTTATCCCCAACACAGCAATGCTCAGAGGTGAGGCCTAGAGAGACGATGGATCATGCAGGTTCTAATCCACTGATGAGTTAACTGGCCGAATGGGCCATGAGGAGGCAAGTCCCAGTTGTAGGAAGGGAGTCACTGAGACGTCCTCTGAAGGGCCCGTCTTGTTCCCCATCCTCTCTTCTGGGGCTTGCTTCCTGCCTACCATAAGGTGGGCAGCTTTCTCCAGACCCTTCTGCTATGATGCCCTTGACTGAAATCTCTGAAACAGTGAACCAAAATAAATCTTTCCTTCTTTAAACTGTGTATGTGTTATATTATGTCCCAGCAACAGAAAAGTTGCTCAAATCTCAATTTTTTTTTTTACCAGTACCAGGAATCGAACTCATGACCACATACATGCTTGTAAGGCAGGCGCTTATGCCACTGAGCTAAACCCCCAGCCCTCCAAATCTCAATTTCAAGGGCCACACTTCCTGACCACCTCTTCCACAGGTTAGCAGCTCTCAGATTTCTACCCCAGCAATTCTCCGACTTGCTCAAGACTTTGTTCGCCGTGCACTGTCCCTGTCATTTTTCCTCATCTTTTAGGATTTCACTTGTCTCCTGACCCAAAGTGTTCGTCAGCTTTCTCCACTATCATAAAGACTTGAGATGATCAGCTCGCGGAGAAAAGGTTCATTTCTGCCCATCGTTCTGGAGATTGCAGTCCTGTTGCTTTGGTGCTGTGGCAAGGACAGCACACCACTGCTCGGAGCAGGTAGTGAAGCCACCTCTTCACCTCATGGCTGGAACACAAGGCAGAGAAAGAGAAAGAGACCAGGGTCCCACCATCCCCTTTCGGGCGTGTTCCCAGTGACCACAGGCTGCCCACGAGGCCCTGCCTCTATCCAATAGCACCACACTGATGACTAAGCCTTCAGCACTTGGACCTTTGGGGACCCTGAGATCCAAACAATAGCAGTCAGATTAGGCTAAATGGTCCTCACTAACACTATTTCCTCCTAAGTTCACTAACTCTTAGGGTCTCACTTCGTCCCTGGTTAACCCCATCCATTCCCCACTCTATCCCTGTACCCAAGCAATGAGGCAAAAACACCAGCTAGGTTGAAAGTGCTCACTTTTAAATGGGTGGCCACACACTTCAAAGCTATCAACCCATTGGCCTAAATCCTGCAGAGTACACTTCTAATTTAAAAGATGCCACCTGATCCAGTAGGGCTGGAAGCTTGTGACAGACACAGACACCTAGGCCTCTTAGGACTGCTGAGTCTGCACTGTAACAAGGTCCCCAGGTCCCCATTTCCACATCCACATTCAGGAGCACTGCCTTAGAGATGAGCTGAATAATCCTTTTCCTAAGCTTTCTGAGCCCCGGTGGCCGTCACTCCAAGGGTCCCGCTCTGTTGAGAATTCAGAAGCAGGCGCAGAGATTCTTCCATCCTCTCATCCCCATCTTTTTAACGGGCTTCCTCTCTACCCTAATCCTCTTCCCTCTTCTCCTGGCACAAGGGAGCAGGGCCCCTCCACAGCCATGGCTGTTTTTTCTTAGCCTCCGGAGCACATCCCTGATTCTCCTGCATCCTGAACTCTCTGGATATTCCTTGGGTTTAGGAATGTAGCTCAGTGGTCGAACCCTTGCCTAGCAAAGACTCTTCTGATCCTACAGCCTGCCCCTTCTGCCAGCGTTTTAACTTCAAGCCAAGCTGTTTTAGTTGTTTTGTGGTGTCCTCATTGTCCACTCCCTCTCGTCACTGAGGTCTTGACTCAAATGTCATCTTTGCAGAGGGGCTGTGAGTGCACCGTGAGACCATAACTGTTAAGGATAATAAATATAAATAAGAAGCAAAAGAAAAGAACTAGGGATATAGACCTTTCTCAAATAGTAAGCGGACCAAGGGACGGAGGGAGGGAGAAGGAGACTGAAAAAGGGCGTTATGGTGCATCCTGTCATGGGCTAATCCACACAAGGAGTGTAAATATCGTATGTTGTAAACACCACTAACAAAGTGAAAATCAAAATAAAATAGCACACACACTTATCCGTATTTAGCTTTCATTACTCAGCATAAACACCCAGTAGGCTGTGTTTCTTTGAAGTCTCTCCCGGTAAGCTCCTGGGGTGGGGACCTTGTCCACTCTTCTGTGAGCCTGATAGTCACAGATGAGCTGTGGCTTGTGTGAAAGGCCACGTGCTGGGGAGAGACATGAGGCCTCAAGTAGGCCCCTGGCAGGGCAGGACCTCAGCGGTGCCTGCATTTGACCCCAAGTGAGGGGCAAACAATAGTGTCATTTTCTCCCCGCATCACTTTCATAGTCAGGGTCCACTTGTTGGGAGCCCACAGAAATTGACTTGTTACCTCAAGGAAAAAGAGAGGGGTTGTTTCTCGTAAGAGGAAGGAGAGTTTTGCTGAACGCTTCACGGAAAGTGCAAAGTGCCTCACAGGCCACGGGAAGTTGCTGGATCGCCTAGGTGTTCCCCTCTTCACAGGCAGGAGCAGGGCCTGCTGACACAAAATGGGCGTGACCTCTGTCACCAGCAGGACAAGGAAATATCAGAGTGTAGCTTTCAGAATTAGGTCATCAACAACATCGCAGTTTCCGCCTTGCTCCCTCTTGGGTCAAGCACATCTTGGTGCTCTGGGGAAGCCAGCTGTCTCCTGACACTCAGGGATCCCTCAGGGAAGTCCGTGGCAGAAACAGCTGAGGCCTCTGCCAACCCGCCCGCGCTCTGAGCCTGGGAACGGCCCCCAGAAATGGATCCTCCAGCCTTAGTCAGGCACCTTCCTCTCTCCTCTTGCTTTCTGTGCCCAAATGCTCTGTTGTGTGCTCCATTCTCTTACCCTTCTCTGTGAATCTCCTTTCTCTGCTTACTTTTTAATATGCAATGGCCAAAACTAGTTGCCAGGTGTTGGTCTACAACAGGAGTAGGCAAACATTTTCTGCTCAGGAGCAGGTGTAAATATTCTGAGCTTTGGAGCCCTACGATCTCTGCTGTGACTCTTCCACTTGACCCTACCTGTATGACACAAAAGCAGACTGGCACTTCACTGTATGGGAGTGATGGTGCTCTGATAATATCTTATTTACAAAATCTGGGGCTGCAGATGGGCTGCATCTGGATGAAGGGGGTCAGGCTCTGTCTATTGGATCTCTCTGGTCCCAGGGCCTGATCCCCTTCCAGTGGCCAAGCCCTAGTCTGTGCCCATGCTTAATAGACTCAGCTGGGTGCAAACCAGCATCAGTGGGACCACACAGGTACAGGAAGGACAGGAACAGACTTTCCAAGAAAGACACGTGACTGGTCAAAAGACACTATGCACCTTGGCACATCATATTCAGTCTGATAGTCCATTAATGCTAATTAATTTTGACAAGAACTCGGGAATATAAAGGTAACTGCTATATGATTCCTAATGATAGCTGAAATGTACCAGGCTTAGCCATAATATTTTTGTACACAGTATCTCATGTAGCTCTTACAATAACACTATGAGGTAACTACTTCAGAGAGGGTAAATAACTTGGCTAAGATCACTCTGTAGCTGTGAGTCTGCCCACTCTACTGTTAGAGTTCTTAACTCTGAATTCTTCTATGAAATTCTGCTTTCTAGTTTCTCTGAGGATTTCTGACCTCCAATCTGTTCATCTGTGCATCTACATATCCCCCCCAAAACCTCATGTACTTTTGGATGGGGTTTTTTCAGAGGTAGTTGAATCTAGAGTTTGTGGTTAATTTATGGTTCAGTGCTAGGATTGAGGGTGGGTGATTACTGCAATCAGTCCAAACCACGCTGCCTAGGAGCCAGATGATTATGTCTGTTTTTTGTTGTTGTTTGTTTGTTTGTTTGTTTTTTGTGTTGGGGATTAAACTCAGGTAAAAGTCAACTGAAACCTCTACAAACTAGGTGCTAAATACAACTTACCCTTTTATCTTTGGGTGTCAGGTATTTCATCTCAGCAATGAGAAAAGTAATTCACAGTCTCTTTCAACTTTGTTTATAAATTCTCTCTACTACACCAGGAAGCAAGCCCAGTCTGGGAGTCAATGCCATGTGTGGGCCACTGCCTGACCAGAGCAGTCAGACCCTGGCCCCTTCTGGTTTGTAGGCTGGCAAACAAGAAGTACCAAACCCCTCTTCCTCACACCTCACCTCCCTGCCATAAATGGCCAGTTTATCTGGAGAAACACAGCTGTGATGATAGCCATGGAGAGGAAATGTGATTGGATGCCTCCACTAACCCTGCAGGGCTAGGGCCAGCGGTCTGATCACAGGTTCAGAGGATAGTGGTAAGCAGTGTGATTCTGGGGGATCTCCTTCTGAGGGTTGCAGCCAGTTTTGACTCCCTATGGTCTTGTTTTGGAAGTCCTACATAATTTCCGTTGTTTTGTTTGGTTGTGTTTTATTTTCTTTTGTTTTGTTTGATTATATCAAATCCAATGGCACGAGTAGCTATTTCAAAGACAGCAAGCTATTTTATGGTAGCCATTTTGGATTTACTAGTGGCTTGTTTTGAAGTCTTTTATTGCATTCAGTGTTTCGTTTTTATTGCTTCTGTTCTATCCTGTTCTGTTTGACTTTTACTATGTCCCTTATCTATAGCTATTTTGAAGACATCAAGAGGCATTATGGGGCTGGGGATTTAGCTCAGTGGCACAAGTGCCTACCTGGCAAGCTCGAGGTGGTGAGCTTGATCCCTGGTTACCCCCGCAAAGAGGCATCATGGTAACTATTGTTGATTTAGTAATGTTTTGAAGTGCTGTATCTCTTACACTGGTTTGTTTTGATGTTTTATCCTCCTTAAAATTAAAGAAAAATATGTAAGTTACCTCTACCTCTAGTTTTAAATATCTTTCTGAAAAGATTTTGCTGTTGATAAGGCTAGTTATGTACTTATTACTTCAACATTTAATAAAGTCTCTCTACTCTTAAAAATAGTAAAGAGTTCACATTGAACTTGGAGTGAAAAAAAATAGTGTGGAGCACTTACCTAGTACATGTGAGGACCTGGGTTCAAACATTATTATGAAAAAAGAAAGGGGGGGAAAGCACAGGGAGGGAGCTCTGCTAATAGGCTAGAACCTTGCAACTTCCTGGTTGTTGCGTTCTGTGGTCATCAGATTATGGTCATAATTATAGACAAATGGTCAAAATAGTCTGCAACTGCCTTTACTTTTCACAAACACACTTTTAGAGTCATTGTACATATAGTACAGGATGTCAGGGATTCAGCCCTAATTAGTTTCTCTCCATTTCTCTTAATTTTTAGAAATTGCAACATGA